GAACTTGCTGTGGTCAGGCCTATACTTTTAGGAGGTTGGAAGGTTTCGTCTGCGTGGGGAGGCGGCAGCCTGGGGAGGGTGGCCGGGCCCGTTCCCACCTTAGCCCTGAACCTCAGGCCTCCGGGGTCCTCGCTTCCCATCTGTCCACATAAGAAATGGCCAAGCCTGTAGAGTCTGTGTCACATTGACGACCAGGGCTGGGGAACAAGAACTCTCATGCTCCTGAGAATAACAGTTTTGCAGCTTCTTTTATGCATTTGAAATTAAGGAGGAAATGGAAAGAAGATTCCACGGAGGTGGGGAGACACCAGGCAGGGACTGGGTCACAGGACAGTTCAGGTTAGGTACTCTCTCGAGGGTTAACACGTCTGGTATTTCAAAGGCGGATTAACCTGGATGCACAGGCAGGCTTGTTGGAAGTGAAGGTAAGCCTTCACTGAAGACATCAAAGGCCTGGCCGTGACTTCCCCTCATGACCTTCCCAGGTGGAATTTCCATCAGCTCACCTTGCAGGGACTTAGTGTAGAACCCGCCGCACGTCCCTGCCCTCCTTTCCCTCCTAACGAAGCCACTCGAATTGCCTCAGCAGCCTTGCCTCCTTGCGCGTCCTCATCAGTGGGAACGCACACCTCAGTGGCTCGTGACCACTGGGTTGACTGTCTAGGGGTTGTTCTAACGGCCAGGCTCTCCGCCGCCAAGGAGCAGGGTGTGTGTCGCTCTAGAAACTGGGCTGCCTCTGCAGGCGCCCAGGAGGCTGCAGCCACCCACCGAGACCCAGGATCGGGGGCACTGGGCAGGGAGCCGTCCTGAGGGGTCTTAGCCAAGGTGACTTCTCGCTCTGGTGGGTTGCCCCGTCTGCGTGGAGAAAACCATTGAGCTCTTTAATAGTCTGTGACCTTCTCCAGCCTCCAAGGGCTGTTAAAAGCACTGGCTTTGAACTCAGCCTGGCCTGGTTTGACTCCACTATCAGGAAATCTGGGGCCCTTCAGTGAGACTCAGTTTCCTTATCTGTAAAGTGGAGATGATCATAAAAGTATCTACCTGTGTTTGGTATCTATGGATGCATAACAAAGAGTGCTAGAACTTAGTGGCTTCAAACAGTAAATACCTGTGGGTCAGGAATTTGGGAGTGGCTTCACTGGATTAGTTCAGGCTCCTGGGTCTGTCCTGTGGTGAAGCCCTCAGCTAGGGCAGAGGCCAGTTCTAGGGCTGCAGGATTCACCTCCAAGATGACCCCCTCGCGTGGCTGGCAAACGGGTGCCAGCTGCTGGCTGTGTGAGTGGGCCTCCCCAGGGGGCTGCTGGAGGGTCCTCACAACATGGCAGCTGAGAGTGGGTGAGGCAGAGGCCTCGGTGTCTTCCGGGACCCGGTCACTTCACAGCATCCGCCTGGCCACACAGTGTGGGAGGGAACTATACAGGGGTGTGGACACCAGGAGCTGGTTACCACACTGCCTGATACGTGTCTTTGAAGATTAAATGAGGTGTTTTTTTTAAGGTTGTATTTTTTTAGAGAGGGGAAAAGGGAGTGAGGAAGAGAGGAACATCGATTGGTTGCCTCTCGCACAACCTGGGCACGTGCCCCGACTGGGTTGATCAACCCTCTGAGCCACACCAGCAGAGGCTACATGAGCATTTCTTAATCTGCACTCCTAAAGCCCCTCATTTCCTACTCAAAATATAGCTTCCTGGGCCCTGCCCCAAACTACTGACCCAGAATTCCTGGAGCCTGGGCCCAGGGATCTGCATTTTTAAGAAGTATCTCAAGCGACGAGACATCATAGGCCTTAGTAACTGGGAGGCAGTACTGATTCATCTCATCGTCTTTGGCCCCACTGGGCATGCGAGGCCCTGGGCAGGATGCTGGTGGAACAAGAGAACGGGAGAAGGAATGATACCCACTGGGTCTCTTGGCATAATCAGGAACTGGTGGGTTAAAAGAACCCATGGTCTCCTTAAAAATGTGTGAACAGTTTATGGGGGAGGGGACAGATCCAGGGGAAATCTGGAGAAATCCAAGGCAAGAAGTTCATTCAGCTGGGCTGCAGGGCACTGCACCGTCTATCTTGATTCGTTCGTTCTCTCTCTAAGGCCACCTCAGACCTTAATCCGTTCCCCCCAATTCAAGATTCCCAGGACTCTGATTGCCCAGCTTGTGTCTTGGACCAACTCCTGCCCAAGAGGCTAGAAAGGGAGAAAAGGATCATGGGAGCTGAGGGGCAGAGGATGCAGTGTTCGGTGGCTCCGTGCTGGGCACTGTGGCGGGCCCTGGGAGGGAGGAGCGCGGGAAGCAGGCCTGGCCCCTGCTCTCCGGGAGTGCAGTCTAGGGGCCTGGGTGCACTGCCCTGGGCTATCGCGGCCCCAGCCAGAGCAGCAATGGCAACAGGGTCCCTGGGCACTGAAGAGAGGGCAGTGGCCACAACGTTCAAGGGCTTTCAGAGCTGTGCTTAGCAAAAGCAGCCACAGCCACGGCCCCAAAGATGGGCAGGCTGACGGAGCTAAGACAGCCCTGAACCCTCTGTCAGGACCGTTCGACTGTGCTGAAACCCTGAGACAAAAACAGTTCATGGGCCGCCTTTTAAAAAGTCTTCATCAGAAAGTGCTGGGCTTGAGCCATTCATTATTTTACCGCCTTGGAAGTTTCATTCTGGACGCGGCAATTTTAGAAATTGGGACCAATTGCAGGGCCTTTTGTATAACAAAGTCTGTGTGAGGTGAAGTAAGGTGATCCAGGGAGGGGTTGGCGAGGGTGGGACAAAACAGCGCCATTTAGGAACAGACAAGGCGCAGGGCCAGGAGCAAGTACAGCAGAGTGCTTGCTGCTCTTCCAGTATTTGTTCACTCTCAACACGGGAAGGTGGGAGGGTGCCAGGGAAAGGGTGAGAAGCAGCGGCCCCTTTACTGCTCCAGGGAATCCCACTGCAGCCCTAATCTTCACCCCACTGAGCCGACAACTGAGCTGACAAGAGCCGTGACATTGGTCAGCCACAGCCACGCTCTGTAGAGGGAGAAGCTGCCATCACTCAAGCTTATCCATCAGGAAACCTGTGTCTGCAAATAACAAAAGTCTCCCCGAAAGCTTTAAACAAGGCCATTTATTACTGCAAATAACAGGCCTTCCAGAGGTGGGGTTGATTCAGAAGTTCAAGAATATATTCAGGTGTGCGCTGAACTTGGAGGATGCTTTTCTTCGAGTGTCCTATTTCATGATTGCAAGATAGCTGCCATAGCTCCAGGCCTCAGGCATAACTTTATCTTTTCAAAACAATGAAGAGCTCTTCTTTGTGTCTCTTTTAGAAAGCAAGAAGTCCTTCCACTCACATCGCATTGGCCAAAATTGGGTCACAGAGTCATTCTTTAGCAGCCGAAGCTTAGCTAATTCCTACAAGTCAAATGGGAGCGGCACAACTGATTGAGGGGTTTTTGTTTGTTTGCTTTGTTTTAGTCCTCGTCCTCCAAGGATATGTTTTTTATTGATTTCAGAGAGAGAGGAAGGGGGAAAGAGAAACAGAAACATCAGTCGGTTGCCTCCTGTACATGCCCTGACCAGGGATTAAACCTGAAACCTAGGTAGGTGCCCTGACTGGGAATCGAACTCTCAGCCTTTCGGTGTACAGAACGACGCTCCACCCGGGCCCCTGGGCCAGGGCTGAATTCGACCAGCCGTTGAGGGTGGAAGGATGTTGGGCGGCCAGCACGTAACCTCTGGCCTGATGGTCCCTCTTCAGGTTTCCGTCCCCTGCCCCACATGGCTTCTCAGTGTCCCTTCTGAACCCAAAGACTGTTACGGTGACAACAGTTTTCTCTACTTGGTCATGCTCCTGGGATGTCTGAATCCTTAGACATGAGCCCTGAACACACCCCCTGGGTCAAGGAGACACTAGCACACTAGCTGGTAGACACACGTGGCCCAGGTCTCGGCTGGCTCATCTTCCTCTCCCGGTTTCAGTTGGATTCATGGAAACAGTCCAGCCCTCCGAAGCCCAGCAGGTGACCCTCCCTCTCGGAGCTAGCCGTCTCTCCCCTGCTCCTTCCCCATTCTGCGCCCTGTGGTGGCAGTGGTCACAAGGGCCACAGGCACTGACTCAGCCTGTGCAGAGAGCCACTTCCCCAGCCCCCGCCTGTCAGCTGTGGTCTCAGGAGAGGTGGAAGGAATTAGTCAGCGTGGCCTGGATGTGCGCGAGTGGCGTGATTCCCAGACCTTGCTGTCTTTCGTTTCTTGTTCTTGAACATGTTCCGCAGGCCAGGGACTGTAGGTTGCTCATCCTAAGCCATTTTCCTCGGTGTGCATGATTTTTCCCAGGCTGACAAGGAAGACGTGAGCCAAGCTCTGCTAGTCCATCATGCTGGTCGGCCTTGGGCCAGCCCCTTCCCCTCTGTGATCTCCCATTAGCCCAGTGAGTCTGAGTCAGCGACAGGAGAGCCCCCTCACCCACCCAGGCTCATGAGGACACTACCACAGGACCATTTCCTCTGAACTAGCGTTGTTGCCCAAATCCGAACTGCAGGCCCCCAGGGCAGCCCCGTGAACTGACCAGTAAGAGCCAGCTTTTGACTCTTCATTTGCCATCCTTGATGGTCCTCCCAACAGTCAGGCCTTCGGCCCAGCCGACTTTCTGATCCCCACCCTTTCCTCTGCCTTCTCTCCCCTCTGGAAAGGAGCCGTGCGACCCCATTTCCCCGTATTGCTCTGGAAGGCCCTACCCCTCCTGCTCAGGGCCCCAGGGGTCCCATCCCTGCTCTGACACTTTCTGGCTGTGTAAACTTGGCAGATTTCTTAACGTCTGTGAGCCTCAGTTTCCTTAGGGGGGAAGGTACTGTCCCCTCTGTAAAGTGAGGCCAGTACCCCCCAAAAGAGGTGGTGAGGAAGTGCCTGGAAGAGTAGCGACCATGGAGGGTGCGCACACACACTGGCCACTAGTCCTGCAGGGCCTGTCCCTGGCTCTGCTGGGCAAGTCAGTCCGGGATTTTGATGGGAAAAATCACACAACCAGCCATTCCTTGACAAACGTTTGATTATTTTATTTTAGCTTTTACAATACCCCCTCCACGGCTGCCTGATATGTCTCCCTGCACCCAACTCTGAAGGCAGCCTGACCCCACCTTGTGCTTTGGGGATGGGGAGCAGGAGTGGGGGTAATTCCCACCAGACGCCCATGGAGACCAGGGCACAGTACCCTCAGAGCTTGTAAACTTACACCAGGACTGGGGCCACCTCCTGACACCCCTGGCGACCCAGGGCCTGAGGACAAGAGCCACAGCCCCCACCACTCAGGACTTGGGAAACAGGGCCAGGAGCACACCAAGGCCTCACAAGCACCTGCCCCGACCAGGGCTGGCCTGGAAAAGGCAGAGAACCCGGGGAGATTCTTGAGATGCCTCTGTCTCCAGCCAAGATTCCGGGCCCTGTCCCTGGGGCGTTCGAACGGTGCTCTCCCACTCCCACCCCAGCCAGGCTGAGAGCCTGACACCCGGCCCCTTCCCAGCAGCCAACAAGAAACGGAAGTCATAAAATGCCAGGCTTTGTTTGTAGCTTAAAAACAAAAACACCTCAGTATCAAAAATTAAATTAAAACAGGGGCCAGTCACCCGAGCCAGCGGTGAGCTGGTGCCTGCAGGCAGATAGCACGCCCGCTCATCCCCTGAGCCCCAGGGTCTCTCAAAGACGCAGGAAGGGGTCTCGGGCCACGTCTGTCACCAAGAGGAGTCGTCTTCTGGAGAATAAAGGTTGGGGGGAGGTGTCCTCGGGGAGTCCCCAGCATGGAGGACTGTAAACATAAGCCAGCCCCCAGAGTCTCCCTGGACGAAGAGCAGCCACCGTGGACATGAGAACAATGGCCTTACCATCCATCGGAAAACCGGGGGTAGAGGGAGTCCCAGAAGCCAAACACAGCTTCACAAGTACTTCTTAGCCCCACGGATCAGCACCCGGCCCTTTCTGGGCGGTGAGTCAGCTGGTGGCCACCCCTCCCCAGTGAAACCTGCTGGAAAGGCAGCTCCGACCACGGCTGCCCGGCCAGGCTGAACCGGGTCAGAAGAGCTCCCACAAGGTCTAGTCCCAGGGAGCGGGAGACTGAGGGCGTGGTTGAGGACTGTCAGGAGAGCGTGTGAGAGCCACCACTGGAACACAGATTGGCTCGAGGCTGGAGAGTCGCTACTGCACCGGGAGTGCCACCTCCAGGCCTGGCCGAGGCCCAGGGCAAAAGTCCTGCCTGGGCCCCACTCCAGCCAGGAGCCCTGGGGACCAGGCAACCTCACCATACTGGTTAGGCATTAAAACCTGCCGCCACCTCCTCACCTGCCACTTCAGGAGCGAAAGGAGGTCCCACCCAGGAGTGTGGCACACCCGAGCCTGCCTTCTGTTGTGGAGACCCGGCCAGGGACCAGGCCTGACAGGGCATCTGCCTTCGGACCACAGATCCTCGTCAGGTCCCAGTCACTGCAGCCAGGACCTGACGCCAGCAACAGGCCTTTGCTGGGTGATCCAGGCTGGGTCTGGGGCTGGAGTTCCAGCCCTCAAGCTTCCAGAGGCTCAGCCAGGCCCCTGACTCTTCTTAAGAGGTACTGTGGCCTCTTCTGAGTCCTAAAGCACCCCTCCCAGTCCAGCATCTTCCCAGAGCTTAAGTCCCCTGAAAGCAGGCCACACAGGGGCCTCTGTTCTCCTTAGGACTTGACCAAGGTTTCCCTCGGGCCCAGGCCCCAGTCTTTCAGGGCTGAGCCCGTCACAGCGGGGCCTAGGACTAGAGTCCCTCCAGAACCAGGACCACTGGTGACCTCAGGGCTGGCTTTGACCCCTGCCCCTCAGCACAGGCCCGCCCCCACCCCCTCAGGGCTGAGCCCGGCTTCTGAGCCACTGACTCCTCAGGGCCCTGACCTCCCGCCCGTACCACTCATGCAGCTGGGCGAAGGAGGCCGAGTCAAGAGGCCCATTGGGCACTGAGACCCGCCGGCGGGGTGGCAGCGGCGGGGGCTCAAGGCCAGGCTGGGCCTGGGTGGAGGTACCTGTGGAGGCAGCAGGCCGCTCAGTGCTCCAGACCGCACAGCCGTTCTCCTTGGGCAGGAGGGCGCGGGGCCGGCGTGGTGGGGGTGGGCCGCCGCCAGCCCGCATGGCGGCCAGCTGCTGCTCCAGCTCGCGCACCACCAGCCGCAGGTAGTCGAAGCTGGCCCGAGACAGCGCCTTCACCCAGCCCTCCATGGCAGCCTGGCTCTCGGCGGCCAGAACGTAGGTGCGGACCCGGGCCCCCGCGAAGCGCACGGCAAAGGTGAACTCCTCGGCGGCCTCCACGAGCTCCACAGTGCAGCCTTCCAGGATGATGACGCCCACGGGCTCGCGGCTGGCTGGGTCCTCAAAGTAGAAGAGCATGTTGCCGCGGAGCACGAACCAGCGCCGGTGGTAGGCCGCATGCCGGCCGCCCTTCTTGTACAGGAAGCCCGCGTTGTCCACTGGGGCGTCGCAGGTGGCATAGAAGGCCAGGCTGCGCTCGTTCAGCTTCATGGCGGCGAGGATAGGTCTGCAGGGAGCTCAGGGCCTGTCCCACCCCAGCCCAGCTGTCACTCACGTGGCCACCACTACAAGGTCACCCAGAGCCTCACCCTGACCTCCCAGCCACCCTTGGGCATCACAGAACTCAACACCCCGCCTTCACAAATAAGGAAACTGAGGCCCAAAGAGCGGAAGCAACCTGCCCAGGCTCACACAGCTCTTCAGGAGCAGAGCCAGACCCGTAACCCTCCTGCACCCTTCTCCCCAAAACAATGTTGCGGATTCCTGTGTGCCAAGCATTTTATGTATCTTAACTCATCTTGCAACGAACCTTAGCTGGCAGGAAGTAGCCTGACCCCCATTTGACAGATGAGGAAACAGCAGAGGCTAGTCACCTGCTCCAGGCCACAAAGCGAGTTGGGTGGAGCTGAAATTCAAACCCAGGCCTCACTTCAGGCCCTGCTGTGTGCATCATCCCTGGGGACCAGGTGGGCCGACCTTTCGTCATCCCTTTCAGGTCCCGGCTCTAGTTTCATAACTCAGCTTGGACCTGCCTGTCCATGAAATGACATGAACAGAACCTATTTCAAAGGGTTATAGGGACTTCATTCATCCAACAACGAAGCACCCACTGGGTGCCAGGCACTGTCCCAGACACTAGACACCAGCAGTAAACAAGACGGAGAGGGTCCCTGCTGCCAGGGATGCTGTCACTGATGCTAGTGGCCAGTGAAGGGGACAGACAAGCAACAAAGGGACAAAAATGCATCTGCCTGATGTCCGGTCTTCAGTGCTGGAGGAAAGCCAATATGGAGAAGGGGGTCAGGAGTGTTTGATTTTAACAGGGTGAGAGGGGGTCAGGAACAGCTGTACTGAGAAGGTGACATTTGAGCAGAGACCTGAAGGAGACGAGGGAAGGAGCCCCTGGGACATGCCAGGCAGAGGGAACAGCAAGCACAGAAACCCTGAAGTGGGAAGTTGCTGCCGTGCTGGACAACCAGCCAGGCCAGTGAGGCTGGAGCAGATGGGGGAAGGGGCAAGGCGGCAGGTGCGGCCAGACAGACAGAAAAGGCTGTGGTGAAATAATCCAGGAAAGGGGCCCAGAGCTCAGCCCGCAGTTACAGGGAGGGGGTGGGCAGAGAGCATCGGGTACTCAAAGTAGAAGGATCTATGCCCTTGGCTCAGTGATTTTTTTCCACTTTCCCCAAGGAGCACATGATGGGGCCACAGAGGCCAGGTAGGACTTACTGGGAGGTGACACGTGGGCCCCTAATGCAACTACACCTTCCCTTGGGATTCTCCACGGCCACTGTGAGGACCCACCCTGTGCTCCTGTTTCAAGGCCTCACTCTATATAGGACAGTAGGTACATTTTTCAAAAGATAAAATATGTGAAGTCCCTGGAATGCAGCAGCTGCTCAGCAAACGTTCATTCCCAAGCCCGCATGGCACCTTGCTCTGAGCCTGGAGGAATGTGGTATATGGGTGGTAGCTCAACCTGACCCAGGGTGGACAGGTGATTGCTCCCAACTGAATTCACCTCGTCTCACCTGCCCAGGCCATCAAGGATGGCTTCCTGGAAGAGGCACCACACACTGATTTCATAGCAGGGTCTTAGTCCCTGCTCTGCCTCCTTGACCTGTGACTTCAGACAGGCTACCCTTCTCTGAGCCTCAGTTTCTGCCTCTGCAAAATGAGACTCGTGCCTTTCCCCCAGAGCCCAACAACTGCACGCGGACCCCAGTGCCACTCCTCACAGGAAACGCCCACACTGCCTGCCCTGTTTCCCTCCTACCTCTCAGGCCACCGCTCGCCTCCCCGCCCTCTGCCCAGTCTGCTCTTGGCTTGCTCTTCTCTGGGTTCAAATGTCGGCTCTGTAGCGTCCAGGCTGTGTGACCTCAGGCAAGCTTTAAGCCTCTCTGGGCCTCTATTTCCACATCTGTAAAGTGGGATCATAAAAGCACCTAAGTCAGTGTTGTGACAATGACACAGTGAATTAATTACACAGAAGGCGCTAAGCATGGTGCCAGGCATGCAGTACCTGCTCAGCAGTGGCAGCTGTTGCCACTCGGCCTCCCCAGACGTCCAGCTCAGCGCTCTGTCTCAGCAAATGGCCCTTGGCGTCTCCCCTCACCCCACCCTGACCACTGATCCAGTCCAACTGATCTCCCTCCAACCTCTTCCGAATCAGTGGCCTAATCTCTACCCACTGCCACCTCCCCATTCTAGGTCCCCCCAACATTGCTCGACTGGATGGTTCCAGTGGCCTCCACCCCAGCCCCTCCTTGTCCATGTTCTTCAGGGTTAGAGCCCCACTCCTTCCAAGGCCCCTCCCCCGGCCCCACTAAAATCCATGCCCCACAGAAAGATCCTGTTTAAACCCAAATGCAGCCACAGCCCTCCACCATGCCTCCGTCTCTCATTACAAAATTCAGTCCTCCTCTCCCCCTCAATCACTCAGCCTCAGTCAGCCACACTCGCTGCTACTCCTCAAACATGGCAGGCACGTCCTGCCTCGGGGGCTCTGCCCTGGCTGCTCCCAGTCAGAGGAGTACCCCCAACCACCCTGGACACCAGACTCCCCCAGTTCCTCTTGGGCACCCCAGCCTGAAATTACCTGGGTCGCATTCGCCTGTTCTGGGAGAGCAGAGTTTTTTTTGCCTCAATTCCATCCCAATGTCACAGTGTAGTTGGTGCTCAGATACCTGTAGAATGAGTCAGTTGTCTTAAACCTCTCAACACCTCCTCCAGAAGGTGTGCGTCCCTGTCCCGTGTTAACAGATGCGGAAACCGAGACACAGAGAGATTAGGTTAAGTTGCCCAAGGGTACAGTGCTGTGCCCAGAATTGCATGCTCCAGACAAGTGGCCCAAAGGGGCTAATCCTGGGGTGGCCCCACCCTATTAAGGCCAAAGAACAAGCGATTCCCCTCACACTCAGCAGCCCTCCTCCCCTCACTGCCCAAATCAGGGCCGGCTGGGTCTTGGGTCACCGGTGACACAGGAACCAGTTCTGTCCATGGCTCCCACTGCTTCCAGCCTCAGCAAGGAGAAGGCGGCAGGGCAGAAGGGGGAGGAGCAGGGTCTGGGGCCTGCCCTATCTCCCCTATTCAAGTTACTTCTAACAAGTCCAGAGTCCACTGTGACTTGCGCTGTTACTGACTCACAGCCAAAGGCCACACAGAAGATTGTAGGGCCCCACCACCACCACCATCACCACCGCAGCTCCCTGATCCCAAGGCCTCGCTCTCCGCCAGTCCAAGCTGGAGGGCCCTGAGCAGGTTGCTTCCCTTTCCCAAGCCTCAGTTTCCTCATCTGTCAAATGAGCTGTAGAGAGGATTCAATGAGCTAAAATGAAAAAAGCCCCATGGCCAACTATGGGAAAGGCACCAAAAATACCGCCTCACCTCTAAAATGAGAACATTAACATGCACCCCTCTGGGAAAGGTTGAATAAGTTAATCCTAAAAAGCCATTTTGCAAAAACACTTAGCAGGTAGTGAGCACTCAGGAAAGCTATCCAAAATAGGCAAATAATTAGCTCCAGGTCTCCAGGGACACAGCTGGCCCAGAATGGGAGATTCTGGAGCAACTGACATGGAATTCTGGCACTCAGTTCCAGGAAAGAAACCACACCACAGGTCCTGGGGTTGAATCCGGCTGCCACAAGTGTCCCTGCACAGTGGGCACGGGGGAGAGGGTGTGGCAAGCACAGGGATGAAAAGCAGGGGTCCCCGGGGCGCTCCCCCACACCACTGGGGTGGAGGCAGCCCCACGCCCCTTGTAAAGTCTGGATCTACAGGTCGGCCCCGCTCCTAGCAGCCCTCTGTCCCTTTGTGTGTCGTGTGGGGAGCTCTTTCCTGGGGGACAGTTAAAGCCCCAAACAACAAAATGTGGATGCCTAGTGGAGGGAGGGCTTATCTCAGAGTTCCCAGCACAGAGGCCCCTTCTGGGGCGGGGGAGGGGCAGTTCGTCTGCCAAGTTCGCCCCGGACCGCCGGAGTCCTTAAAGGGAAGAACACTGCTGACGTGGAGTCGCAAACAGGTAGATCCCCAGGACAGGTTTCTCCCGCCGGCCGCGGGACCCGAGGCCCAGGGCGGCCCGAACTCGGGCCCGGGTCCCCTCGAAGCGCTCCCCGCCGGGCGGGCCTTACCTCGCGGCGCGGCCTAGGGCGGAGCCGGCGGGACGGAAGGCGCTGGGCCAGGGGGCAGCCCGGCCATGGCCCGGGATCCGCACTAGCAGAGGCGGCGGCGGCGCTTTGTCTCCCCGGCGGCCTGGCCAGCGCAGCAGCGGGAGGGCAGGGCTCGGCTGGAAGGAGGCGGGGCGGCGGGACGGCCGGGGACCCGCGGGCGCGTCTCTTCAGCCCTCGCGCTGGTCCCACCCCCGGATTCTCCCCGCCTCTGTGGGCCCCGCCCCGAAACCACTCTTAAGGGGACCGCGACGAGCTCGCAATCTTGAGTGACGGCTGATCCCAGGAATGAGGACGGGGTCCCCGAGAGTCCGCGGGTTTCCAGGGCTAAGGACAGCAGGGAGATTCGCCCGGAGAAAACAGCAGGGACCTGAAGTCCTAGGACCAGCGTCTGAGCCCTTCCCCGGCGAGGGTTTGCCAGACAGGAAATTTAACACCCAACTCAATTGAAAAATAACTCCACATGCTGCAAATTTGTGATTTATTGGAAAAAGAAAAAAACTGAATACAGGACATTTCGGGCGATCTGACAAAGTCAGTAAAGGACTGCAACCCTAGCTCCTGCCCCAGGGGAAGAGGGAAAGTTCTGGAGGGCCTTGGAGAAATGGCTTCACTTCTCTAGGCGTCAGTTTCCTTACGAGTAAAATAAAGACAGTCGAGTTACACAAAGGTCATGGCACACAGTAGGTGACCTCAGCAGACCGGTCTTTTGCTGTTCTTTTTGTTCTGCACGAAGTAACACAGTCCACCTCCCTAGACCTGCGTTTACTTCCTGCTCTTGCTGCCTCCACCTGGCTGCCTCCAGGGCTCAGTCAGTGCCCAGTCCTGCCCTGAGGGCAGGAGACCAGTCAGACTGGTCAGCACCAGGTATTCATTCTGCAGCCTCTCACTAAGTGCCTACTGTGTGCCAGGCACTGTGACTGAATCAGTCAACAAACAGCACAGATAAGATGAGCTCTATAAGCAGTTCGTGCCAGGAAGATGATTCACTGTCCATGGGGTGGAAAGGGCTGTGAATGCCGTTTCAGTCAAGGTGGCTGGTCAGAGGAAGCTTCTCTGAGGAGCAAGGACCTGAAGGAACTGGCGGAGGGAGCCGTGGAGATGTCTGGGGGTCTCCCAGGCAGCGGGAACAGCAAGTGCAGAGATCCTGAGACGGCCCATCCTAGGCATGTCTGAATGAAAAAGAGGCCAGCAGGGCTGGAGCCAAATGAGCAAGTGCAGGGATAGTAGGCCCAGTAATGTCCCGTTGCATGCATGGACCACATTTTTGTCTAACTTAGCATCCCTCCATGAGCATTAGGTTGGTTTCGCCTTTTGGCTACTATGAATAGCCAGGCATCTTTGTGGCTAGAACTGCAGAAAAGAGACAGTGATTCACAAGAATTTGAGAACCAGAACTGGGTCGTGGCTTCATTACCTAGTCCTGGTGATGTTACCTCAAAATCGTGTCTCGAGTCTGTCACTTCTCCATTTCCGCATCCGCTTCCCCATCACAGGCCGCTGGTCATACCTCACCAGGTGGGCTGCCGTAACCTCCTCTCAGGTCTCCCTTCGGCCACTTCAACTCCCAAACCCCCGAATCCAATCTCCATGGAGGAATCCTCGTAAAACTTAAATCAAGTTACAGCACTCTCTTGCTCAAAAGCTTTTTCAGATACACAACTGTGGCATATTGGGCTGATGCTCTAACCAAGTGAGCTACCCAGCAAGGGCCAGAATACAAGCTAAAAAGACAGACAAGCACATTTTCATAGCAGCACTACTCACAATACCCAAAAGGTCCACGGACGAATGTAGAAATAAAACATGGTGCATCCATGGAATGGAATACGACTCGGTCATAAAAAGGAATGAAGCTCTGATGCCTGCAACAGGGTAGATGAACCTCAAAAACGTGATGCTGAGTGAGAGAAGCCAGACACAAAGACTGCATATTGTATGATTCCACTGATATGAAATGTCCAGGACTGGTAGGTCCTCAGATACAGAAAGCTGGCTGGCAGTCGCCGGGCACTAGAGGGAGGGGGAAATGGGAAGTGAGTGTTTAATGGGTAGGAGGTTTTACTTTTGGGTGATGAAAATGCTTTGGAGCTAGAGAGAGGTGGAGATTGCATAGCACATTGTGAATTCATTTCAAAATGGTCAATTTTTTTCTCAATAATTTTATTTAGTTATTTTTCAAGTACAGTTTTTTTGCTTATTTCTCCCATCCCAGCCCCCCCTCCCCATGCTCCCCACCTCCCTCCCATTTCCACCACCCCCCAGTTCTCATCCCTGTATCCTTCATATTTGCTTCTCCATAAAATGGTCAATTTTTAAAAGGGTTTTATTCATTCATTTTTAGATTTTATTTATTTTTTTAAGAGGGGGAAGGGAAGGAGAAATAGAGGGAGAGAAACATCAATGTGTAGTTGCCTCTTGCACGCCCCCTACTGGAGACCTGGCCCACAACCCTGGCACGTGCCCCAACTGGGAATTGAACCTGTGACACTTTGGTTTGCAGGCCAGCACTCAGTCCACTGAGTCACACCATCCAGGGCAAAAATGCTCAATTTTTTGTCATGTGGATTTCACCTCAATAAATGATTTTTAAAATATTTTATTTATTTATCTTTAGAGAGAGGGGAAGGGAAGGAGAAAGAGAAGGAGAGAAACATCAATGTGTGGTTGCCTCTCATGTGTCCCCTACTGGGGACCTAGCCTGCAACCCAGGCATGTGCCCTGACTGGGAATCAAACAGGCAACCCTTTGCTTTGCAGGCCTGCGCTCAATCCACTGAACTACACCAGCCAGGGCTCAATAGATTATTTTTTAAATGACAGCCAAGTGTTTCCACCCTCCCTCACCAGAGGGGAAAAATAAGGAAGCAACACTCGTGCAGTGCATCAGATGACACTAGGAATTGGGGAGAAAAATAAACGGGCAGAGTGTGTGCATTGTGAATGAGAATGATGGATTGGCCGTTTTCGAGAGGAGGGCCACAGAGAAGGCAGCTTTTGAGTAAAGACCTGAGGAAATGAGGGCTCAGACCAAGCCGATACCCAGAGGGAATGCATTCCCAGCACAGGGACCAGCAAGGGTAAAGGCTCAGAGGCAAGAAGCATGTCAAAGGAGCCGTGTGGCTGGAGCAGAGAGAGCAAACAGAGGAGAGAGGTGGGAGCAGGGGGACCTGTGGGCTTTCCTCCAAAGGCTCAGGGGAGGAGGGGCCCCCACAAAGGAGAGGAGAAGGCGCAGACGGTGAAATAGGCCGAAAACCGGGACAGGCCAACCGTAGGCAGTGTAACTGGATTCGAAGACTCTGTGCCTAACCTGTGATGCGCCCCCGCCCCCACCACCAGGTAGAAGGTAGGTCTGGGAGTGCAGGCAGTTTTGTCTGCTTTGTTCTCTGTGGCATCTCCAGTGCCTGACACAGTGTCTGGCAGATAGTAGGTACTGGGTGACCGGGACATGCACGACTTGGGCCCGAGCCAGTTCCTCCCAGGAAGGTGCCCGCGGGACCTGTCAGTTTGCATCCGGACCTCGGCCTCCCCCCCTTTCCAATGATCCCCCACTTCACTCAGCCACCAGCAGGGAAAGGCAGTGCTCCAAGCTGGGCTCTGGGGCAGCGTTTCATCCCACAGTGGCTGTTCCACCCCCGAAGTGGCTAGAGCCAGCCAGCCCCAAGGAGGAACTGAAATTGCCCACAGCCACAAACCCCCAGCCCAGGCCACAGGCTGGGAGGGACTGGGGGGAGGTGAACTGTAGGAAGGGGCAGATCCCTTCAGGGGCCCTCCTCCCTTGGTACATGTGGAAGAGAAATGGGGGCCTGTGCGCACCAGCCTGAGGCCCAGGTCCCATGCATGAGCGAATTTTGCTGAAGGTGTGGAGACTGGGAAGGTCTTGCCAGCTCCTTGCGTGGTGTCAGATGAAGGATTTGAGAGCCCTGCTTTAAAAGGTGGCATTGCCAACTCCTCTCCTCATCCCCTCCATCATTTATGGGGCTTCTCATCCACCCTCCCTAAACCCTTTCTTCTACCTTGCTCTGCAGACCCCCAAATTCCTAAATACTTCCTCCCAAGAAGCAGTTTAAACTTCCTCTGAGTTTCACCCGCTCCTTAATAGTAACCAAGATGTACTGCATATCAGCTCATGGCCAAGTTCCTTTCACAGACCCTTATATTGACCCTCAAGCCAAGGTTCAGAGAAGGTAACACGCCCATAGTCACACAGGAAGGTGCAGAGCTGAGGCTACAATCCGGGCCTATTGGCTACCAAAGCTTGTATTGCTAAGTACCTCGCTGCGTCCTCTTCCAGGTTCTTACTGCCCTAGCAAAAGCCACAAGCCAATAGCCCCCTCTTTGAGATAAACCACGCCCCTCGCCCTGAACACCAGAATGGCTGCCTTTGGGGGGATATTAAGCGGGCTATTTTTTCTTCCTGCTACATCAGGTTAGGACTTGAAGGGAGATAGGGCTGGTAGTCTTGGTCCCTGAGCCACCCCAGGACTGCAGAAGGCCAGGGAGAGGTCTTTCATTTGCCTAGGAAGCCCCGACTCATAAAGCAATTTGTAATCTTGCTTGGAGCTGGCAATTAAGGGACTTAACCTGCATACTTGGGTTCCAATCCCCACTCTGCCGTTTTCAAGCTCAGTGACTGCCCGCAAGTCCCTTCACCTCCCTGTGCCTTGGTTTCTTCGTCTGTAAAACTAAAGAAATGCCAGTCCCCATCTCAAAATGTGTTATGAAGCATTTCGAGAAATAACAGTTAAAAAAAAAAAAGAAAAGAAGAGTAACAGGTAACACTTACTGAGCACTTATTGTGTGTTTCGCTTCTCAGGACAACTCAGAGCAATAGGGCCAATTTCACCATCCCCATTTCACAGGTACAGAAACCAGGGTGAAGTGGCTAGCCTGAACTTACACGGCCAGCAAGTGGACTCGAATCCAAGCGGTCTGGCGTGTGAGCCTGCGCCTTGCTGCCCCTCCATGTAACGCTGTAAAGCCCTCAGAACGGCACCGGCACATAGTAAGGGCTTAATAACTGTTAGGTGTTATTACCTTGTCGTGCTTACAAGCTTTGGGTGAAGGTTCAAACATGTTTGAGTAATGGAAAATTGAAAGACAACTAAGTCAGTAGCTGAGAAAATATAGCGCTTGGAGATTAAGAAAATCAAA